AGCCAGGAAGAGTAGGAGAAAGTGTGTTTCTCTCCTGGAGTGGAGTGAGGCTCCCACATTGCTGCAGCATGGATGGACTGAGGACTGTGCTCAGTGAGAAGCAGACGCACAAGGCCACAGTGTGTGAGCCAGTGACAGGAGATGTCTGGGACAGGGGAGTCCAGAGATGGACGCGGACCCGCAGGGCAGGCTGGAGGGATGGGGGCCGGGCTTCCTTCTGGGGCGAAGAGTGTTCTGACTAGATGAGGTGCAGCTGCACTGGGAGGATGTGCTGAAACCCACTGCTGCGCAGGCTGCGTGGCTTGGCAGCCGGGCCTGTGACTTGTACCCAATCACCGTGTGAGTGAAGTGCAAGACTCTGGGACACCTGCCCAGGCTCCCTACCCGCAGTGCACACAGCGTGCTGGCCGGTCAGCACTGCCCCCTGCTGGCTCAGGTGCCCCCACCCTCACGCCCTCCTGGGAGAGGCTGGGGAGGTACCCCTCCCTTTCCCAGGTTGCAGCTGCGGTGGGGTGGGCCTTCGTCTCCCTACCACTTTCCCGTGCTGGAGTTCACCCAGGGCTCACGTGCGCAGGGAGGTGCTCTACTGCTGAGCTGCTCCCTGCCCTGGGTTTATGTATTTATTTATTTTTGAATGTGAGTTGTATCCCCACCCCCTTTCATCTTTTGAGACACGGCCTTGAGAAGTGGCCCAGGCTGACCTTGAACTCCCACCCTCCTACCTGGGCGAGGGAGTTCCCAGGGTGGTCTGGGGCATGGAGGGTGGCACTTCTACACCCTGGCTCCTGCTGCCTCTGAGCTGCTGCGATGGCAGTGTGGCCCAGCACCTTGCTGCCCAGTTCAGTGGATGAAGAACCACTGTGGATCGGTCCTGCGGATGTGCCGTCTCCAACTGCTACGTCCCTCCCTGAACCCTGAGGGGAGGGTCTGCCACGGAGGGATCTGGTCAACTGGAGTGCCACATCAGGGGCCAGGATGGCCAGTGGCTGATGACCCTCCTGATCCAGGACACATAGGGGCCATGGCAGAAGCCACAGGAGGCTTGAAGATGCTGGTTCAGGTCTTAGAGCTAAAGGACAGGACTCAATGCACCCGGCCTTGGCCTCACACCAGAGACGCGCCAGTCTGCCTGCTGGCGGTGGGAGAGCCCCTGTGAGCATCTGACCTCTGTCGGGAGCAAGTCCAGTGGGGCTTGAGAGGCACCAAGGGGCCACTCCCAGGCCAGGAGCATTCTTCTCCCCTTCTTTCCTGTCCCATGGTCTTGCACATGCCCTGGCCTGTGCCCTGGTCCCCTTTGCTGCTCCCTAATACGTGCCCCGGCCAGCTCCTTTAACCCCTCTGGGTCTCAGTTTCTGCATCTGAGAAATGGGGTCAATGCTAGTCCCACTTCCAGGGTCCCCAGAGAACACGCGAGGGGCTGGCCCAGCTGCTGCCCTGGCCACAGGCTGAGGTGGGTGCAGTCAGGAGCCTGTGGGCCTTCTGTCAGGCTAAGCTGCCCCTGCCCGCTGCATGGTCACCCTGCAGTAGGCTTGGTTCAGAGAGCCGGCCACTGAGCGGAGGAGGCGGGCCAGGGGTGAAGCTGCCACGCCAGAGAGGCTCCTGTTGCACATCTGGGCACACAGCAAACAGGGCTCCAGCTCCTGCAGTGTGTGTGTGGGCCAGGTGCCCGCCCTGGTGTCAGCCTCCAGCTGGTCACACTGCACGGCACTCCTGCTCTCACCGCCTGGTGCTCTGTGGCAAGGCCAGGGGCTGGACGACGCTGCTGGGCCGCACCTCCCTGTCCAACGATGGGGAAGAGGAGCAGGTGAGGGGGGCCACAGGCAGACGAGCTGTGTCAGGCCTGCCACCCCAGCACTTCAGCAGCATGAGGCATTCCCAGCTGGAGCCGGCACACGGGCAGGGTGCTGGCGTCCACCTTTTGTGGAAGGCGAGGCGTGGGCTGCAAAGGTCATGCAGCCCCAGCACAGCCTCAGTAGCTCCATCCTGAGGCAGCAGGAGCCAGGGTGTAGATGACCAGCCCGCCTTGTCCATCCCCAGCAGGTCCTGCGAGGGTCCTACCTGTCTCCACAGCTTCCAGGAAGCCGTTCCCCACTCCTGAGCATCCAGAAGTGCCACCCTCCATGCCCCAGACCACCCCGGGAACTCCCTCGCCCAGGACTGCACCTCTACAGTTATTTGTTCCAAGGTCAATGTGTGCCAATCCTCATAAATCTGCGTAAACTAGAGAAACAAGCTTTTTCTGCAGGACTTGCAGGTGCATCCTTGGTGCTACATGAAAGAATGTGGCCAGTGGGAAAGGGCAGCACTGAGACCAGGGCCTCCCATGAGCAACTGGATCAAGTTGCACCTGGATCAAGCTACACCTGAAGTTAGACCTCCTCATAGACTTGTCAGTTACATGAGCCAACAGATCCTCTTTTGCACTTCGGTTTTGGGATTTTAATTACTGGCTACTCCAGAGGCAGGGCAGCACCAGGAGGGGTTTATTTAGTGGCTTCTCAATGGCAACAGGGACCAGTTTCTTGTGTTTTGCCACTAGGCAGGTAGGTCAGCTCTATCCTTGTGGCCACAGGTGTCAAACACATTCCTAAACTTGACAGGTGGCCCAAATCAATCCAGTTGGAAGGCCCAGACCTTCCTGTGCTTCTTGTTCCAGCTGAAACACCCCAGGAACCTGCAGCCCAAGCTGCCTCTAGGGAGGGGAAGGAGCACCCTTGTTTGCTTGTGTCTCAGGATGCCCTGCAGCTGGATATTGGGACTTTGGGATGTCTAGGTTGGCAGAGAGGTGGGGCAGGGGTACTTCTGGCTTGACTAGACAGTGGGCAGCTGTCAACCCCCAAGGTGGGGTACACAAGGACCCCCCAACACAGGCGGGTGCCAGCTTTCTGCAGTGAAGCCATGTGTAGGCCTGAGTGGGGGTGGTGGCCTTTCAATTCCCAATAATTTTGGTGTCAAATGTGTTGCCTACGGGGAAGGGGAACAGATATGGTCAGGTTAAGGCTAGATGTATCCTGCCCCACCCGAAGCTTGGAGGCCTCAGACCCCAAATTCACCATTCTAATGAAATTCCCAGTGTCCCTTGAAACTCCAGCAGAACACACAGGGGTTGCCCTGGACCCCATTCCCCATCACAGGCTCCACTGCCCAGACCCCATCAGTGGCCAGGTGTAGTGGAGCACGCCTGTAATCCCAATGACTCGGGAAGCCGAGGCCAGCCCCAACAGCTGAGCAAGACTCTGACAATAGTGTAGCTCAGTTCTAGAGCTCCCCTGGATCCAATCCCCAGTACTGCTCTAGAGGCTCTAGAAATCCCACCTCCCCATGACCCCTCGGGCCCACGCAGCCCCACCTTAGGGCCCCTGAGGCCCTGCTGCTCCTTCTCCCACAAGGGACTCGGCCTGCAGGAGGGCTCCCCTGGAGGCCCTAGGTCTGGCCTCCTTACCTGGGGTCTCCTCAACTTTCTCGTGGGAGTTCCCAAACACCAGGTATCACGCTCCACCCCTACTTGGCTCTCTTCCTTCCCAGGACTGGTGCAGACACTGTGTCACACAGGAATGCTGATAATAGCCCCTTGTCCTAGAGTCAACATGAGGGTAGGCCCCAGGTCCATCCTGTTTCCAACAGGCCTAGAGAAGTGCGCACTCAACAAGCACGCAGCGAAGGGTGGATGGATGGGTGGTGGGCGGGTGGTGGATGGATGGGTAATGGGTGGTGAACGGATGGATGGTGGATGGACAGATAACTTATAGGATGATGGGTGCTAGATGAAAGGATCCCTGTGTGCACCCATCCAGTAGGTCTCCTGCTCATTTAAGAGCCACCCTCCTCCAGCCAGCCTGGCCTCTGGAGCACGTACCAGCCACCCTGCTCCGCGTCAACCCTGGCAGCACCAGGTGTGGGCCCAGCCTGTGGTGTGGAGGCTGGCTGACAGCGTGGCAGCAGCTCTGCCCTCCTGCAGGGTTGCTTCATTCCAAGCCTGCCTCCAAGGCCTGCTGGGAGGGTGCAGAGACAACCTAGTCTCCCAGGACAGGTGGTTGGCAGCTTTTGGGGCCCAGCCCCCTTCAGACAATGAAGATGTTGTGGTTCTCACCATGGAGAAAGCCAGTGTGCATCCTGTCACCAAGTGGCCAAGCAAAAGTACCAACTCCTGCCACATGCATGGCGAGAACCTGGGGCCTCGGTGCATTCCTGCCCCACACAGCCTGGGCGTGGGGGAGACTGGAAGGACAGTGTGTCACCCAGATCCCAGGGGAGGTGAGAGGCCCTCGACTTGTCTGCTGTGAAGGACACCCCGGGCAGCAGCAAGCCCTGAGCAGGGGCTGATAGTTCATAGCATCATGCAGCCCTGTTGGCCGGTGCCAAGACCAAGGTGTCCTGGAGAAAACACTGAAGCACAGCAGCAGAGCCGCAGGAGCCAGCCATGGTGCAGAAACCCAGGTTCATGCACAGCTCTGGAGGGCAGCGCGCCTTGGGGGCAGGGGGTGGACACTGAGAGCAGGCCTGAGCTCCAGGCGGCCCTGCAGCAGGTCAGGAAGGGAGGATGCAGAATCCCCACCCAGAGCTCTGCAGCCCCCCAAACATGAGACTCCTACTCAGGAGAAAGTTGGAGAAGGCACTCTCCAGCACGGCCTGATTTCTCCGGACGTGCTGTTCCAAATCAGGACCTGCTGCGGCATCCTTTCCAGAGCCACCCAGGGCCTCAAGCATGCTAGGTGAGCGCCACAGCCCATTCTGAGACAGGGTCTCACCATGTTGCTATGGGTCTTGCTAAGTCGCCCACTGCCCTGGAACCTTTGAGGCCTGGGCTTCCTCCAATCTTCGGCACCCCCTCCACCCACGACCCCCTCTGGAGTGCCAGAGCACGGGGCCTGTCTCCCATCTCACCTGCCCACAGCCCTGCCCTGCCCTTGCACACAGCAGACATCTCTCCACCTCCAGCCTTACCTCACCCAGAACATTTTAGAAGGGGTTTCTAAAGGACAGGAACTTGAAGACAAAACTGTGAGACTACCAAACTTCCTTATGGTTTAATACAGTGCTCCAATCCCCACCTCGTCTGTGCGGTCAGGCTTCAGAGTGACTCCTCCTTGGTGCTGGGGATGGAGCCCAGGGCCTGGTGCAGCTGCACTCAGGAGAACTCTGCCTGAGCCACACCTCAGGCCTCTCCTTATTTTTGTGGTAACAAACACAGTTCCCCGTTTTGTACGGGAAAGCTCTGTAGTATGCCCACCACCCACCTCCAACGCTTCTGCCCAAACCCAAACTGTCCTCTTGTTAACACCCACTCCCCACCCCTCCCTTGTGACTGGCTCCCAGTGGAAGGGGCAGCAGGCAGGGGGGGCAGCAGGCAGGGGCTGTGCCTGGCTGCAGCACACCACAGGGTCAGAGGCCGCAGGGCCTGTACCTGCCCGTCACTCAGCCACTCAGAAGGCTTGAAGACTATGTTCAAGACCAGCCTGGGCAATGGGGTGAGACCCAGCTTCACATGATTAAAAAGTGCTGGGGACACAGCTTTATAAAGTGCCCTGATTCAATGCCCAGTACCAAAAAAAAAAAAGCAAGTTTTGAACAGGAAATTCATAGGCACAGTGGCCACCTCCATCACCTTAGCAACTCAAGAGGCTGAGGCAGAAGGACTGTAAGTTTGAAACCAGCTTGGGCTACTTAGTGAGACACCCTGCCCCATTTTGGGCAGTATTAGGGACTGAACCCAGGACCGAGAGCATGCTACAAAGCACGAGGCCCTGGGCCACTCCCAGTACTGTCCAAAATAAAACCCAAGCAAACAAAAGCAAACAAGTGGCAAAGCTGCACCCACCAGCAGTGCGGTCCAGGGCCTACCGCACTGTGCCCACTTGGGTCCAGGCATATACCCTTGACCCTGGGCATCCAAGCAATTCCAAGGTCAGCGAGTCCAATTCCTGAGTCCAGCCATTCTGGGCCTTTCAGTTGCACAGACACAAGACCAGCAGTGTCCCACTTGCCACCAGTGTGAGAGGCACCCTTGGGAAGCAGCAGAGTCCACCTTGGGCCCTGAGCGTCCAGGAAGGGCCACTGGCTTCTGTGGATGGGGCCCTTTCCCTCAAAGGCAACTGGGGGGTTCCCTGACTACCCCATCTCCTAGGTGGAGAGGTGACCATCAGGCCCAGGGACATGGCTCTGACCCACCCCTCCTTGGCCCACTGTGGAGGCAAAGGGACCAGCAGTGTGATGACCTTGGCCCTGGTGCCTCCCTGAAGGAGGAGTGGTCTGCCTCCTCGCAGGCAGTTTTATTTAGATTTCAAACAAACCACAGCAGAAAGGAGTGACCTCAAAGCAGTCCGTCCATCCAGGAGCTAGGACCCCAGCCTCGAAGCTGCTGGATGGGGCCCGCCCACGACCCTGGCTGCTGCGGCTCTGCTGGCTCTGCCATCCCAGGAGGGGGCCGGCAAGCCCAAGCCCGGCTCTTCTCTGGAGCGAGGAGAACCCAGAACCGCACGGGGAAGGAAGGACACCCAAACGCGCCGCCCAGAGCAGGGCAAGGCAGTGCCGTGAGGTAGCCTGTCGAGAGAGCCAGCGTCCGTCCCATGAGGTAAAATCTCAGAGTTTATTCGGTGGACGAGGTGTCAGGACTCCTCGGTGCCCGAGTCGTCCTCGTCGTCCCCGAAGCAGCTGTCTGCCTCCTCCACCTCCCCGTCCTCGTAGTAGTCCTCGTAGAACAGGTCCGCGCCCTCCTCGGGCGCCGGCGCCTTGGTCTTCACGCAGTACTCGGCCAGCGTAGTGGGCACCTTCACGCCATCGCGCTCTGCGTCCACCTTGGTCCCCAGGACCTGCTTCCTGGGGGGACAGGAGGGATGAGGGGCTGCTCTGATCCTGGCCCACCCCCCCATGGCACATCAGGGCTACACTGCAGAACAGGAAGCCAGTGGGAGCCATGCCAGGGACACCGGGCACAGCACGCAGCCTCTGCCCACAGAAGCTGGCTTCAGGGCCATCCAGGGCCACAGACACAGGGAGACTCGGTGGCCAGCCTCAGCTCTGTGCTGTGCTCATGCCAGGCCACACCCAGGTTCCGCACGCCCTGCACTACACACCACCCAACCCACCCGACCCCAGGACGTGGTGCCAGGCAGGAGCACGGCTGCAGTGCCAATAGTGGGACTGGACACCCTGGCCATCAGGAAGTGCCAGGGCTGCTCGGGGTGCGGGTTTACACAGGGAACGGTGTGGCACAGGCAGATGCTGACCCCAGCCTCTAGCCTACAGCTCGTAGAGAAGACGCAGACGCACAGGAACAGGGACCATGGGGGAGGAACTGAGCCCGGTCTTGGCCACCTGTGTCTGCATGTTAGGACAGACATTGCACCTGGCTCAGGCCTCTCCCGTGGGCACTGCAGGAGGGTGGGAGGGCACTGGGCCAGCAGCTCTGGGCCTTCCCGGCACCAGCCAGGGCTCTCCTGCCTGTCCTGCAGAACCCAGCAGGACACAAGCTCTCTGAGGCCTAAAGATGTAGTCAGAGCCAGCAGCAGGCAGAGAACAGTGACTACAGTCCCAGGTGGGCACAGTGGCCCACGGGGTTCTGAGGGATGAAAACAGTCTGGCTCTCATCTCTGCTCTGGGACTGTGTGGGAGGTGGCAGGGAAGAGGTGCCAAGAGTACGGGCACCTCTGAGGGCAGGTGTTGCAGGGGTGCCTCTCAGATGGCCAGTAGAGGTTGGTGGCTACCACAGCTTTGGCACAGCTGCCCAGAACAACTGTCCAGCTCATTAGGAGCACGTGGCACCCATGTGAAACACCATGGGTGCAGCATTTCAAGTTCAAGGCATTCTGCTCACAGGAAGTGCCAGGGCAGCAGAGGACAGACCAAGCACTGGGAAAAAGGGGACAGAAAGGAGGAGCCCTTGTTGTGTGTGTGACCACCCGGGGGCTAGCTACAAGTGCAGAGTGTGGCGTCTTGCCTGGCTCAGGGTAGGGCTAAGGGCAGCAGCAGTGCTAGGGTCAGGTGGGCAGGCAGCTCTGTGTGGACTGTGGGGCAGCAGGCCTCTGCAGAGGAGCAGGTCCAAGTGCCAGTCCACCAAGGGTCAGTGTGTTTGAGATGGTGCCTCAATGACCCAGAAGACTCCTGGTCAGTGGGGACAGGTATACATACACCTGGCTCCAAGAGTCTCATCACATGAAAGTGGCACCTCCCAACCACAACGCCAGCTTGTTTTCTGTTCTGGCAGCACTGGGAATAGAAGCCAGGGGTGCTCCACCACTGAGCTGCATGCCCAGCCTTTTTAGACAGGATCTCCTGAGTTGCTTAGGGCCTCGCTAAGCTGCCCAGGATGACCTGGAATTTGCAATCCTCGAGTCTTGGCCTCATGTGCCTCTGGGATTACAGGCGTGGGCACTGTGCCAAGCTATTTTTTTTGGTGGTGCTGGGGCTTGAACCCAGGGCCTTGTGCATGAAAGCAAGCAACTAAGCTGTATTCCTAGCCCCAAGCTACTATTTTAAATTAAAAAGCAAATTAGATGTTTGCCCAGCAAAAGTGAGAACCCTGGTTCAATCTCCAGCTCCACAAAACACAAAGATAAATAGCAAGTTGAGGGCTGGAGCTGTGGCTCACTGGCGGAGTTCCTGCCTGGCATGTCAGGCACCGGGTTCAATCCTTAGCACAGCATAAAGATAAATAAAATAATTACTAAAAAGAATAAGTTGAAAAGTGTTTCAAGTGCTTTCTTTGGCAGCAATGTACAATAAAAATGGAACAACGGAGGAAATTGGCACACTTCTTGTGCAAGGATGACACACAAGGGAGGCATTCCATATTCCATTTTTTTTTTTTTTTGTGGTGCAGGAGACTGAACTCAAGGCCTTGTGCACACAAGGAAAGCACTCTACCAACTGAGCTGTAGCCCCAGCCCTGCACTCCACATTTCTGAGAAAAGAAAAGACACAGAAAAGGATTAACTCAATCAAAAAATGAGCCAGTAGGGCTGGGGCAGCTTGGTGGCAGAGCACCTGGCCAGGATGTGAGGACTCGTGTTCCACGAACACCAAAGCAAGGACTGAGAAACCCTGCTGAGGAGTGACGACAGACAGCAAGAAAACAGACAGAGAGGAGGTCCCTGAGCCCCATTCACCTGACAGGTCCCCACAACTCCCCAAGAAACTACTTCTTTTGTAGAGTCACCTCTTGACTCAGAGGAGATCGGAGCAGGTAGAGAGCCACTGGGACGCAGCCCCGCCTGGCAAGCTGTCCGTGGCTGTGAGTGCCAGCGAGCAGCAGACCGTAGGCCTGCTGGGCCTTCAGCGAGTCTGCAGCACCTGACTTGCCTGGCGGACCCACCTACAAGGACCACAGCAGCAGAGGCCACTGTCCCAGGGAGAGTGCTGCCCTGGTGGGGTGCAGGAAGGACCAGGCACATCAGGGCTGAGTCACCAAGCAATGAGACACTAGGAACTCCTGAATGCTGGGAATGGGGCCTTCACACTGTATGCCACAGTGCACACAGACACACACGCCATGTGGGCCATGTGGACACATGTGCTCACACACCACACTTTTCTGTGACACAAAGAAGGAAAAAATACACCATGTTTTCAAAAACAAAGAAGAGGCCAGAAATTGGGCTGAACTGGCTGGACACTTCTGACTGGGGTTGGTGTCCCCATCTGCAACTGCTGCCCCTGAGCAGAGGTGGCCTCCAACAGGCTAGAAGGCAGGAAGCACTCGTCAGCCTCGTTAGCAGAAGCAGGTGGCCCTACTCTGGGGTTCAGAGCCCCGTGCTCACCGGATGATGTCCGTGTACTCCCGGTCCTTCCCCTTACTCTCTTTCCACTTTCTGTACATCACTGAGGCATCCACATTGGCCGGTGAGAAGGTGTTGGGCTCGTTGAGCAGGGAGATCACACTCAGGAGGATGGTCCTAGGGGGATGAGTGGACTGGAGTGCGGTGGCTGCAGAACCCAGACTTCCATCTCTCTCAGGCCCCAACTACTGAGGCCTCAACCCAGGAGCCCCTAGAGGCCCCTGTGAGCACTGTCTGATCTGCTCACACTTCAGGGCACCACCAGGCAGCAGGAGCTGGAGTGGATAGGGGCTGCTTGCAGACTGAGGGCTGCCCTCAGAGACACACAGCATCCGCAGCCCACCCTCAAGCTGGGGCTCCCAGGGTGAGCAGCAGGATGCCTTGGGATCTCCCCAGGGTCTGGTTTCTGGGTGGACAGCACAGTGCCACAGGCACTACGGACACAGACGCCTCTTCCCATGTGTCCCAGGGCCGGTCCAGGGCACAGGTGCCACCAGACTTGCATGGTGGGCCTAGCCTCACCTGACGTTCTGTGTGGGGTTCCACCGCTCCGAGGGCAGCTCCCCACTCTGTGGGTCATCAACAGGTGGGTGGAGAATGGAGATGCATACGTCCCCTGTCTGAGTGAGGGAGACAGCGGGTTAGCCCTGGCCAGGCTCCCACTGCCTGCTCCACCAGAGCCGTGACCATGGGGAGGCAGAGGCCTGTGCGAGGCTTGTGTGCGCTCACCTCATAGATGTTTGGGTGCCACATCTTGGTCAGGAACCGAAAGGCTGGTGGAGAGTAAGGGTAGTCGATGGGGAACTTGAGGCGAGCCTGTGGGGTGGGAACAGCAGGGGTGGCTCAATGGGGGCTAGGCCCTGGTGGAGTTCCATTTCAGAGGACACTCTCTGGGTGTCTGGGGAGTGTGTCCCACGATGGACAAGGAGGAACAGGGCTCACTGCCCAGTCTCTTGTGGGCCTAGGGTCAAGCCAAAAGCCATGTCCACCATAGGCTGCCTCAAGCCTTTGAGGTTGCCTGGGCTGATCCAGCCCTATGACGTGCAGGTGAGAATGTGGGAACGCCAGAGGCTGGCAGGGCGGCAGTTACCTGGAGACTCGTGGCCCCAGCCCAGCACAGCTCGGCTGTCTCTGGGAGACTTATCGTCACTGCCTCTCTGAGGGCTACTCAGGCCAAGGGTCTGAGCCACCTGCACCAGTGCCAGAGCTGCTCACCTGTGGCCAGGGCCCTGATGCTGCTCCTGCCTCTGGGCTCTCAGCAGGTAAGAAAGGAATCGCTGATGTTTGTTTGGGGGGGCCAGCATCTTGGGGGTGCTGTGAGCTCCAAAGGTGGAGACTAGGCCGCTAGAAATCTTATGGAGAGGGACGCCTCCATGTCCAGGGAAAACATGCTGAGGCCAGAGTGACCTTGGAATCTGGGTCTGACACTTGCCCAACAGTTGCTCAAGACTTCAAGGCACCCCTAGACTCCTGCCAGGTTTCTAAGCCTGGATTTTGAGCCTCACCCAACTAATCCCCTGCACCTTTTACTCTAAGCATCTCTAGAGATCCCTTTTACCACTTCACAAATCAAGGATCACAGAAGGAGAGACCTTGCCTAAGGGAGGAGCCTCTCCAGCTCCTGGTGCTAGAGCATTGCCTGCAGCAGGCTGGCCTGGTCCCTAAGAAGATGAGGCTGGGCTGAGAGGAATGCCCCACAGGAAGTGACTAGGAAGCCATGGTGGCCTTAGGCACCTTACAAGTCCCCTACTTCCACATCCCCTTTACAAGTCTTTGCCCACACCCCAGCCAACCATGCCCAAGACAGGGGGGCAAACCTTAGTCCCACACTGGCTTCTGAGGACAGTCCTGTGGCAAACAGGACCCTAGCCTGACACAACTTTCTCTAGAGATGGGACTCTCCCCCTAAAGCCAATCCTGGAGGCTCTACCCACAATGCCCTGCAGCCAGTTTGGTGGGTAGTGCCAGAGATCCAAAACCTTTCCTTCCTGACTGCAGCCTTGCCCAGAAGCCTGGCCTGGCCTCAGGGCGGGGTGTTACCCCATTCTGGGTGCTGCTGTAACTATGAAGTGCTCTTGGAGACTTTTCAAACTGGACTGCTCCATGGGTGGGGATGCAGGAACACTCAAACCTGTTCCCCTACCCATCCCTGCCCTCAGACCTGGGACCCCAACTCAGCAATTGCCCCCAAGTAGACAAGGCGGGTGCCCTCACTCACTGGACAGGCCTGGTTAAACACCAACCCACAGTGGAAACAGACCTGTCTTGGCCTCACCCGGCGGCGGGGACCTGGGCTTTGGTTTCTCTGTTTGTATGTGACAGTGGGGACTGATCCTGGGGCCCTGAGAATACCAGAGCAAGCATTTTACCACTGACCTACGTCCCCGCTCTTCCACTTGCCCTTCTCCTGCCTCAGGCTCCATCCTGAGGAGCTGGGAAGACAACCGTGCACCACCAGTCCCGGTTTCTGCTCCCACCTTAGGCAGGGAGACCCCAGTCTTGCTCCGCTGGCTCCAGAACAAGGTCCTGTGACCCTTAGAAGAATCCAAAGCTTTGACTAGGCTCAGATCGGTTCGGTGGAGAAAACCGCCCTGACTGTGGCCCATGTTCTTTGTCACATAAGGCAGAATCTGACAGTCCGGGGGACAGCCCTCGGCTCCCTGCTCCCAGCAGCAAAAGCACCCGCTCATCCTTAAACCACCAGAGGGCAAAAAAGTGCCCGGAGAGCAGCCCGACACCGCAGAAGCCGCCCGCTCGACCTGCGAGGCTGGCGGCGTCCAGCAGCCCCGGCTCCCGC